GACAAGAACTTCTTCAACAAGATGATCTTGCCATTGCTGCTGTTGCCAACAGCGGCACCGCCATCTTCGTCGTCCTTATGACCCAACCTGGTGAGTGCAACAGCAACGTATATTAGGGCGCCGCAGCTTCTCATCTTCGGCGTCACCCTTCCTGACAAGCTGTTCGTCATTGTCAAGCGCCTGCTTCACGTGCTTACCCTCTTAGCTTCTTTCGATGCAAGAGGAAGAAGAATAAAAGCAGACCGAGACAGTGGCCGCTGCCGTGCGGGCGGGCCGTTTACTGACTATGGTCAAAGCAGATGGTAACCGATGGCTGACGCTCGAAAGCAAAAGGCTGTCAGCAATGTCTCTTGCCTAATTCCTATCAAGAAAAGGCCTTCTTGCCGTTTAAGCTAGTTTAGGTGGGAGTGCTAGATTTCTGGGATTATTTTTAGACTCCAAAGTAGAAAGCGAGGTGTACTCTGTTTTAGATCTACTATTCTACCTGCTATAGCTACAGCGTACTCTTACAACGTACTTGTGGCCGCCTGTTTGACTAAAATTACATCATCACCACGACCGTGCGATTAAGCTGTGCATCCCATTATTCTGCACATAATTATAATTAGAGGTGTAATAATGCTAAAAGCTATTATTGCTGATATTATTATAGTTATATTGCGACAAATCGATGAACAGTAAATTAATAAAAATGTGTAACGGATTTATGAATTAAATACTAAAAATGTAATATTAAGCAAAAATTATTGAGTTTCCATTACAAAAAATAATTATGTTGTTTAGCCGAAGTCGGGCTCTGTTATCACTTTTTTATTTATTTGACACACTGAATAGATTCGTTCAGAGTTTGCTTTTGACTGACAAATAGGAATTATATGGAATTATCGTATCGTCTAAAAAGAGAAAATTAGATTTTTATGGTTTTCTTCCTTACAGTGCGTACAACTGTGATGAGGCCTCAAAGGTTTGACTAAAATGGCCGATGGAATACTAGCAGATCCATATCAGACAAGCGAAAACCTGCTGAGATACTTCTTAGTTGTTTGCTCCCTTTCCTAGTATATTTTTTCTATGAGCAATCTTTCCTAAGCTGGCTATTTGTAAATGGTTATTTTGCTAGAGCGCTCTAACTTTTTTATCCTTGGCTTACACCTTGGTTGCTTTTGCATCTCGATTTTTGTTGCCCCCACGAGAATGCGTGTCAAACCCATCACGCTGAGTCAACAACAAATTATAATTGAATTCCCTTTATGCCTCTATGGGGATAGAAGCATATCGGTAGGTCAGACTAGGCCATGCCTAAACAGGCACATGCTATAATCGCCCTGTAGTCTGGTTGTTGTAGTTTGAGATAGATAAAGCAGATCAATACTTATCGCTACTTGCAGAGACTCGAGTCCCTAAGGGCGGAAGAAGTAGTAAGAGTTGATATTATATAAAAGTCAGCTGAGCAGGAATCCCATTAACAGTTAAAGATGCAGGCAAAAGGAGACTACTATGCGGTAAATATGTGTCGATATGAACCTAAGCTGGAGTTAGTCTTTTGGAGGTCAGAGCATTTGCCAGGCTCTAAAGAAGAGCAGGACGATATTTTTATTTTTCTTCATCTTCATCCCATGATTAAAATAGTTTTGATTCATAAAGTGAGTGCCATGATGTTTTTCCGAAATATGGGAAATAGCTGAGGTGCAGACATTGTTTAAAATTTTGCTCAGTTAAAGTACAGCAAAGTTGTTTATGCCATACCGCAGATTGCGGTGGTTTTTGTTTATCATTGTTACTGGGATTGATAGGCCGATTGGTATTTCCGCTCAGTCGATACGGTGACGGACCGTACCACTCATATAGGAGATCGCCTATTTCAACTGATGAACATTCAGGCTTATACACTTATTTATTCCTTTATCACAGAGATTTTTTTTATTTTTTATTTTCCATATTACACATACACGCTAATGCACGCTATTATTACTTTCTCAGTCTGAACTATAAAGTAGTCAAACTTGCTCGGCCCATCCAAGCTGATTTTTCCCAGATATGTCGTCTTTGCCATAATGTTTTTTCGTCAAAACTAAATATACATACAAAAAAAAACGCAAAAATCATTAATATCATTTCCAAAATTATACATATGTATATGTATAGGATTACTGTTAATAATTATTCTGTGTGAGTGTAACGAGCAGGGTCGTCATTGGTATAATGTAACTGGACGCCACAAAGCGCTGCATCTCTAGATGCAGCGCTTTGTGGCGTCGTTTGAGTGTGCCTTTTTTATGCCTAATTTTGTATTGTATATTCATATTCCTGATGTACTGCACAATTATTAATTTCTTCTATCTACTTCTTTGTTATTTTAGTATCACGCAAACATACAACGTTTCTTGCGTAGGTACATTATACAATGAATCTTTCCATCTCCTCAAGCATGTGCTGTAGGCTTTGCGATGAAGAGTTTTGATTATGTGCTCGTTAAAAATAGTTATTTTTATACAGAACCAATCGATTCTCGTAAATCCCTTGAGGGTCCCACAGACGCATTTAAAAAGTTTTCCACACTATATTTGTTGTCGTACGACAAGATACAGCCAGCCAACTTGATTTGCATCTCTCTTGATGTCTTAACGTGGCAACTAATTACGTCTGTGTAAATAAACTCTGTCTAAACTAAACTATTATCTACTATCACGATTTTATTACGTAAATCAAAATTATTTAAATTAAATTAGTTTTATATTGGTCTAAACTTGCCACATTCAAAAATTTTCAAGGTGGCCGGAGTGGTCTGATTTTATCATTGGTTTGACTCAACTCAGAAACGCGTTGCTACAGTTGCTATGGCAAGGGCACCCCTACAGCCTTTGAGCGAAATATTTATTGACTTAGTTGCATAATTCAATTGTTGTATAATACAAGATTAGTTTGGAGGGCATAACGATACATGGAACTTAATAAATTAGTAAGACTACATAAGTTTAGCGCAGTCCTACTTTTGCCAGAAGATCCTGACTGGATTCTTAGATTCACTAATGTCTAGTGGGGTTCATAAGGCCCAAATAAATGACTTTTACATGCTTATTTTAGGCTATTTTGGATTTTATCATGGATTTTATCTCTTTGACAAAATTAATACATGTGTAAGAATTAAGTTTAACTTAAGAAGAAGTTCTTATATGTCTCTGTGGTATTCTATATGATATAGAAAGGAGGGCAACAAGTAGGTTTGCAGTAAAAGCTCACGTGGCAAAAAAAAAAGCAAATTTACAATGAAAGCGGAAATAAAAATAAGTATGTTAAAAGATATATACAAAAAAGGTATACAAACAATGTTTAGTAGAATGTATATATTGTTTTACAATGATGGCGTTACACGACCAGGTATTTATGATTGCTTATTTAAGCAAATAATGCGAGGCTTCTTTTAATAGGTTTTTTTAACGTAGTTTCCCTATGTGTATTTGTATTTCATCAAAGGCTGACATACATTATTTTTCCGTATCTTAAAAGTAAAAAAAGCTGATCTTAAAAATAATATAATTGTAACCTATAAAGCGGATAAATACGAGGAAATAAATAGCAACAAGGAACTCCGCTTCTCTAAATTGTTGGCTGATGCGAGCACATAAAAAGAATATCTAAACAACTAGTGAAAATAGTGGATATTTTAGGAATTTAACTGATCAAGCAGCCAATGCTGTGAATCCGTCATTTAAAATAACAACCGCACTAAATACTATTATTATGTCTATCTTGCACAAAGGAGCTATCAGCATATCTATATACCTTCATCTCCGCTTTAATCCTAAGCCTATCTCCAAATTGTAAATCTGCCCTTGCCCCTTTCTCCTCTATATGTAAACATTACACCTTTATTAGGATTTAGGTGCACACACGCATGTACATAGAGTGACTGGATGCTGTAGCTTAACTTCTGTACTGAAGGATGCTGCGTCTTATGCACGAGGCCCATGAATTTTCTTATGTCACGTATTAAAAGTCTCGGAAGGACAGTAGATAGTGGTCATCCAACTAAAACAGACCTAGTATGGGTTATCATACTGCGTGTCCCAACGTAAACTTTAGGTACTCAGACAGTGCAAGCTCTTTATTATGCGGTAGAATATATTGCAGATAGGTATCCAGTCTGAAAAGAAACTAGAGCGATTGGTAGACAGAAACGGATCTCATTTAAGAAACTTCGAAAAACGATAAAGGAAGACCACCGAAGGTCAGATCAGCGTTTATTGTTCGTAGCAGAATAAAAAAGTGTAGTTGCTACATAATCACCCATAGGTATTAAACGAGTTATAATAAATAAAAACGTTATTAAATAAATATATATATAGGCGATATAATAAATATAGGCGACAGACGCGTCCCAGCGAAGGATACAACAGCCAAAAACCTCACCCAATACTCTTTTATGCTCATTTTATGTGTTCACGTACCATACGTACCAGAGCCATATTTTAACATTTTCTATTTAATGGAATCACTTTGAGTAACTGCCACATGTGTTTCAAATAGCTTGATAATATACATACACGGCAGTACCGTATTCAGTAGCAGTCGTATCTTTCTCATGCGACGACCCGGTTTTTAGTGAAAATAACGCTATGGGCTGTTCTGGCGAGAGATACTGTCATATTACAGTAAGAATATAATTGTTCTAAGCTCGCACTTGTTTTCTCGTGAAAATAAATCTTTTAAGTTTACGTCCGGCACATCTCAGAGATTATACATGCCTAATGAAGTTGAATCTTGCTATGATATCTAGGACACACAAGCCCAGCCTATCCATTCATGATAATTGGAGTTATCGCTCGCACATGTATCAATAGTATAAACTATGTATCACTATCAAAAAAAGCTAAGCTCGGATTGGCAAACTTTTGTGTTAAAGCCTCTGTGTTAAATACCACTCTCTATTGTTTGATTTTTGTAATTGACTGCTGCCTTGGTACATTTAGAGTAAATTTACTATAAGTATCCTGTGTTACCTTTATGGAATCATAGCAAGCAATGACGCGTCCATTCTGAACTTCGACGTTTGAGGCAGGGTGGGCAAATTTGCATTCAGTATCGGGCCGTGTGCATTTGTTTCTTTGAAACTCCCGGCACACCTGCAAATTCATCAAGAAGAATTTAAATCGAAACGCATAAAAATGGGTTTCCAAGCAAAAGCATAGCAGGGCTCATATGCTGGGGCCAGGACCAAACAAAGCTGTATTGAAGTGTTATCAGAAAAATCTGAAGAATCGGATTGTCTAACATTACAAGGTAGAAAGATAAACTATTTTCATGGAAGGTTGTTCAAATGTCTAAGCATAGACGACTGCCTTTCAACAACATAAACATATTCAAAAGCTTACAGTTTTTGGCCCCTTTGCACTGTAAATGGTATATTTTGTTTTACAGCTGTATTTGGTAAATATGCACACACCATTATTCATACATACGCTATAAGCTCTTTGAAGCTGCAGATTCTCAATAAATTCATCTTTTGACCTCGTTGTTCACTTTTTTACTTAACAACTCATAAATAACGTAGTAGACATTGCTAACATACCATCTGCATCCATAATGCTTGTACTGAAGGTACTGGCAGGCGATACACTAGAATTACTACGTTTTTTTTGCATCTCTGTACCTACACTATAGCAAAAATGAGAATGGGACTTAGGAAATACAATTGTTTATAAAGCGCAGACTTTAAAAGTGTGGCTCTGTAAAGTGACTCAGTCAAATACGGATTCAAGCAAAAGGGTATCCAAATAGATTGTATATTGATTATATAATTATAATTATCATAATTATATAATCAAATTGGGCTAGCCCGGCTCAATTTTTTGCATGGCCGCCTAGCGATGTTAACTGATCGAAGGGCATGCTCCACGTTTGTTACAGTTGATTCGTAAATATTGTCAATAAGATTAACAAAGTATGCATTCCCAAAAGAAAACTTGCAAGGCAACACCTGCATTATCCAGTCCGATTCGTGAGTTCTTCTCGAACTGGAGTGCTCGATCGGGGATGTTAATAAAAACCTGATTTTTCCTGTATACATTATACTTCGGTTCACATGCAGTACCAACCAACACACAACGAGAAGACTGAGAAAGGATCGCCAATCTCTAAAGTGGACTTCTCAAGTGCGAAAGGAAAAAGAGGATGCTCTCTGATTAGACTCCACCCGTTCAGATCCGAATAGAGGCAGGCACTGAGTCCCTGTAGAGCAGCCAGTTATTATGATCACTACACGGAATGGGGGCTTGCTTTACTATAACTACAGAAGGTGTCTTGACCATTTTGATGGTAACCCACAAGGTGCATTCTAACCAGCCTAATAGGATTGTATTACACGCACGAGTAGTCATAAAAAGCTAATGAGGATAATGTAAATGTGGAAGTAAATTACTATATTTAAAACTGGCGTAATTTTTTAGAATGCCGCAGTATTTACCTTACTTAAACGTGCTTTACAAAAAATCGACCTGTCCTTAACTTGGGAATCAGTTTAATGAAAGCAATTGATGCTTTTCTTAGAAAAAAAACCGTTGCCTTTTTATATGTATTTAGTTATTTAAATCTCGATTTGAAATGGTTTCATGTATAATAATAAAAATAGTGTTACAGATTCGGTATTTATGTTGTACGTTTGCCTCTATATATATATATATATATATATATAAATTATACCAACATTAATTATATCAGTATATTGATGCTGAAGACTAAATTCATGAAAAAAAAACGTACATCATGTTTGACATATGTATTTGAAGTGTTGAAGGATCTAACTTGTCACGCACCTCAAGCTGGAGCCATCGCGAGTCCTTGACGTTAGCAAGAGAGGTCATCGTCGCCATGAGCGCAGTGGAGCCGGCGAGATTATTGCCGGGTTGACCGTGAGGGTTCACGGGCGGCGGCGGATTGGTGATGGCGGCGGCAGCAGCTGAAACTGCGGTCGGTAGGCTATGGCCGTGTAGACTTTGGTGCGGCGGTCCTGTCGCCTGTATGGATTGCGGCGTGAGTGGAGTCCCGCTTGAAGCGGAGGCGGCTAACTGGGGTGAGTAAAACCAGTAGGCACCAGCAGGCGGAGCCACCTGGCCGGCAGCAGCTGGGACCTGACCCACAGGGGGCGACGTCACTGAGTTTACAACAGCCGGATTCACTGAGCTGACAGATACGGACGCCCCGAGACCCGCGGCGGCAGCAGCGGCGGCGGCGGCGGCGGCTGCGGGCACGACGCCCTGCACTACGGCGGCCGGCACCGACGTCACGCTTACGCTGGCGGGCAGTCCGGGGGAGAATGCTGACGCGGGCGAAGAGCCTACCGACGATGAAGGTGGCGAAGGAGACACCGTGAGGCCGGTAGCGGGCTACAAAATCACAATTACCATAAATACATACAGAGATGGTAATTATTATCTGAATTGAACCTTCTGTGTCTTGCAATCGCATATACTGTACTAACATAAGAGTGCATAGTTTGTTATTCCAAAAAAAAGGAGTATACCTGCTGATAGGAAAGTGCATAACATTTTCAAGCCAAAAACACTTTTTTTAAAGTAAAAACAGCTAAATCTATTTTTTAATAGTAAAATATGTTCGTATTCTGAAAGTCTTTTTCTTAACATCGTTGAACCCTAAAAGCAAGTGAAACTTAATGTAGGTCTTGCAACGTACACGAAATTAAGCTATATCTAACGCAGGTTTTAAATCTTTTCCAAATGAGATAAGGGAAAAGAGCAAGTACTTGATAAGGGTCTACTAACTTAGGTTAGCGATTAATGAACTCTGGGTTGTTTGTGATGCGGATTTAATATCGTGGCCATTTTCTGCTTGCTGCTTGCTGCAGTTTTATAGTTTACTGTTAACACTGGCCATGCTTGTTTATACAAAGGAAACACTCCCAGGTTTGAGTTTGCTACTTCTGATATTTTTTGATATTGAATTTAGTAGAGCCTTGCCCGCACTAATCTAGATGTACTAAGTAAAAAAAAGTGTAAAAAAGTTGCAGATATATGTTTAGAATAAACACAGATTCATAGTAAATGAAATAAACGCGAAATAGTCCTATCAAAATAATTGTATTATACATTCTGTATTTGTTATAAGTAAAATAAGTAAAGTTTCTGATTAACAGGCTTTGCGATACCTCATTGTATTTTCAACATACAAGAACGATCCAATAAAGCCGTCCTTATTTAAGATTAGCTTTACTCCTTACTATGATCTTTTCACCCAGGTATAAATATATAGGCAGCATATGGGATCGCAGTGATGCTTGATTGTATTGAAATTCCTATGAAGGTTAAGTAACCTTAAATTAAGCTACTAGTTTCTACCAGACACTAAACTTCTAAGGCATACGGCAACGTACATTTTTTAATAATGTTTACAAAGAAATGATAGAAATTGGAAAGTGTTAAACTTCTTGACGGTAATAATCACAGAGAATAATCGGTGTAATTATTGTACTATAGTTTTTATGAAGCCTCATTTATGAGAATCACATGGTAAATAGTCTTAATCCATAACAGCTAAATATATGTATGTATATTCCATGGTATTTTTGACGATCTCTTTACCAGGAGTTATACGCTTCTCACTGCTTCTAAAAGACTGCCAAGTACAACATTAGGTAGAGTCTTTTATTTATGATTTCGCAGACTTCAAGTTAAATAAGTGGTAATACTTTAGCAGCGCAGAATCGCTATATTTGACTTTAAAAGATATCTACTTAGCGCGGAATTTTGGTACATCAGAATATACTAAACGCCGATTGCATCGATAGTCTCAAGACACAGATTCGCAAGCACACTCGTTTGGCAGATCATCGTTGCTTCTGGGGATACCTTGATTAATTTTTTGCAGATATCACAGCTTGGCTAACCTTGAAACAATCGTTATAAATTCAATAAAGTTGGACAACATTATACTTGGAATATTTACTGGATTTCTGTAGAGACTGAAAGACGCACTATTTGCACTTAAATTGCTATAGGAAAAAGTATATTTCTATAGTCTATTACTAGTTAGTAATAATTTTAGAGATAAGAGCTTAAGGCTTAGGGATGGTTAGAGTTTTCTGCAGTGTTCCGCATCCCGCTCTACATACAGACCATTATGAACTAGCAAAATATTGAAAACGTAAAATATTATTTTGACTTCAATTTCAAACTGTAATGTATGGTTTTATTTTCGGAGATCCGCTCATCTCTATCACGTTAAAAATGCATTGCTTAATCTTTTTTAATTATTTGAAAGTGGCCTATACCAGTCGGCAGGTTAATTGCGATGAAAATAGGTAGTTCAATTCAATAAAGTGTAAATGATGAAAAACCGTTTATGTATTTCGTTATCTTTATTATAACACGCTAACGGAACACGAAGTAAATGTCGCGCTACGATATACGAAGATCAATATTCTACTGGAAATTTTTTGCGCGGTTTAATTAATTTCGTAATCTATATTAGAGCTATTAGAGCAAATTTTATTTTGCATTCACTAATTCAGCAGGCCATTGTAAGGTAGCCCTTTGGTCCGTTGTTACTTAAAAAATTCGTTCCATGCAGATCCTACTCAGCCTCATTCACGTAAGTATGTGCATGGACTGATTGTCATCGGAATCATCAGCGCGACTAAACCTGATGGATTATTCTGCTAACGATTACGACCATTATCGTTACTTAGGGTCCGAACCTATTTGATACTAAGACTGAACTGGCGGTTTCAGGTTTTAAAGTGCACTTGCTAAACTTGCTTTATGACTTTGCTGGGTTTATGGCTCACCATGAGTAACGGATTTTTTTCCGATCATAATTTCATTCATTGCCTGTAACTTTAAAAATTGAGTATAGAACCAAGCACGCGCATTTGTCTATAACTGAATAAAAACATGTAGTACGCAAATTCTAGCGTATTTGCTCATATACAGTTTTAGATAATAATCTTATAACCCGTACCGCGAGAAATACCAACCTTGACAGACGGATGTTTTAGGGTCGATGCCTAGATCGACTTTTTTTATTCGTACGTTAGTTGCATGACCCAAACGACAATCCTCGTTCGAAATTTGTTGGCATTAAAATTTTATAGAGTATTTATAAATTTATGTTCATGTTAATTTAAACGTATATGAATAGTTTTCATTAAAGTTGCACGATCTGTTCGATTTCAACTGGTGCCTCCACCAAGTGTCACCAACTTTCAGCAATTGAGTGAACCTGAGGAATAAGACGCGAAAAATCGCTTATGTTAAAATCTAGAAATTTTAATACAATTTTACATTCATATCAAATTCTATATTGGATTTTAAAACCTTTGGAATAACGCAACATTTTCCCAGGTGGTTTTTAGGTCTATACTAAAAAAACGTATTGTGAGATTCACACTCAACGTTCGTACGTCATGATTTGAGAATTTGCTATCGCAGACTTTATGGAAGCTGTGTAGACGAACCTTTGAGACGAACTTCTCGAACCTGAATTATGTAAACCATTTTTTATAAAAAGTGATTTGCACAAACGAATGTATACGTAAATCTCTTTTTCCTTCTATGATGAGACACGCAATGTAATGTTGGCTAGCTTTATGATGTATTGGTATAGTTGTACACAGTATCAAATCGAAGTGTGAAGTTCTTCGACGCCGAAATCTCTGATCGTAAGTGATGTTGTGTAAACTACATAACCGAAACATACTACTATAGATTAAAAATATATTTTTGATGGTATCAGAAACATTATTGAATAAATAGGTTATTGGTAGTAATCATATTCTTATTACTTTTATCTTAGCTATCAACATGCTGCTTTTCCCAACCATCATTAATTTTACCTGGTCATGCAGCGGTTCGAGCGCTTTTAGAAAATAATTTTTATAACTGTCTACAGTCTTTGAACTCAAGGACGTAATTTCAAAATTTTTTATTACTAATAATAATATATTAGCACATTATAAAACGCAGTTGTAGATGAGCCATATTATGTATTGTTACAAGCCAATATGGCTTTGAAATTGAGTAGCTTGTCGGACAAGTAAGTGGATTGAGGCCAAGGTTATATTCCTTTGCTCAATCTAGGCATGGCGATGAAGGCTGACGTTGTCATGAAATAACCAAAGGGTGTGCTTTCGATTGCTGTACTAAACGATCCATGAACCTCTTGAGAAGCTCGAGGTAGAGGGCTGCGTTCATTTCCAGCGAGTACATCCTGTTAGACGCCCCATTCCATGGTCCATTCGAAATACTGCCATCACATTCATGCCTAAAAGTGCCACCGAATCCAACTTCTTTTCAGGGCGTTGCTATTCTCTCGCGTGGTCCCTCTCCGGCTGGTGGTAGGGATCGGACCGTGCCTCGTTTATAGAGACCGTATGCTCCAGGCGGATTTTTTGTTAACTAAAGTTCCGCGAATTGCATGTGGAATACAACATATTCACTTCCAGGCCTGGAGTCAATTAACAGGGAATCTATTTTTTATTCAGTGCCAGCATTTTTAGTATTTAGGTTATAATTCTATGATACGTTACATGTGGAATACCACGCCGACAAAGCGCTTAGGCTCCTAGCTCTGCTTGTGTGAAAATCCTCTCCAATTATGAGAATGTGCCCTTGTTCCTCATCTCCTGTCTTCAACATTCCAATCCTGAGATGTTTGCACAATTCAGGTACGATACTTTCAATTCGGTCTTTTTATTTAATGTCTTTATCAGTCTTCGATTAATTTCCGCAACAACAATTTTCGCAGGAACAAAAATTTGACCACTGACCGTTCATTTCCGAAAGTGAAGATTTTTCTTGTGTATTAATTTATCCTCGACTCAACCGGTTTTAGCGCCCGAGCTTCTACAAAGCTATATAATTTCCAATTCAAATTTCATCTAGTAAAAAAACAAGCGAGATTTGGCTGGCGCGTAGTTTAAAAATTATTCAGTTTCCAAATCTGTTGGATTTGCTTGTAACAGTTTAACAACAAACCTTCTGCATAAGAAGTATATTTAAAAAAGATGAAAAGGTTATCTAAAATATGAGATACTTATTTTTCTCGCCAAGTAATCTTCTCAAAGAGCAGGATTTATTCTTCTTATGATAATTTAAGTCGGATATGGAGCAGCGACATTTAGAAAGATTTAAATGGATTTTATTCCCATACATTTGGTGCGTGTTAAGCGCACTGGGTGGACAAATTTTATGGAAACCTCCTATATATATATATATATATTATTCATTGCCAATATACCAACTCAATAATATTATTATTGATGTTTTTTAAATCAAAAAAAGAAACGACGCTGCGCGTAAATTCACGCTGAAGCCATGTAAGCCGCCAACAGTTATGTCAATCTGAAAAGACGGGTAAGTATGTAGGAATA